CGATCGTAAGACTTCCACGGGCGCAGATGCGCAGCGCGGCTTTTTTATTTTACACCTAAGAGAGGCTATCACAGCTTTCAAAGCTTTTGATCCATTTTTTTTTCCTTTATTTTCCTTTATTTAGAAAAATTGACATTTACAAAGCACGACAACGAGAGCTCCCCGGTCTCTTTTGCGTGCAGTGAAATTCTTGGACTGAACCGTCTCTTCGCGGCGTCGGGTCTCTCGCAACGTCGCCGCTCTCGTGCGAGAAATCCAGGCGCGCGTCGCCAAACTCTCCCCGATTTCCAACGCGCGAAATCCTCGCGTCGCATACCATTTCATCGGCCACCACCGATTTAACATGCCGCGAATCGCGCCACGCTGCGATACGTGATCGTGATCGGCTCTTCATGGCGCGGCGTCAGCGTCCTGCGCTGGCTCGTCCGTCATCGGTAGCGGCGCGATGCTTCTTCGGACGGGAAGGGAGTAGCGCCGACACACGTCCTCCACATGGACGGTCGTTCACCCTTGCCGTCCGATCACAGACAGAGCGTAGACCGCGTTTCTTCGTCTGTTCCTTTCCTCGTCCTCGTCATCGCAGGTTGCGCGTCCTCTTCTCTTCGGCATCATTCACTTCCTCTTCTTCGTCTATTGAAACGTATCTCGAGTCACTTCCGCCGCTCTTCTCGTTCCCTACCTTCGCGCCCCGTTCTTTCACTCGCGCGCGCGCGCGAGATGTGACACCACGATGCATTTCTAATTTTTCCAGGATGTCGTTTCAGCGTCCACAACGTGCATTCACGTTTGGCGAGGCAAAATAGAAGGGGGGCACGAGGAGGGGGTTGAGAGCGGGGCATGACGATTTTCTCCGGAGAAGTCTGCGGTCGTTCACCTCTTATGAACGGTCACATAAAGGGTACGGACTTGGTGCGCGGTCCGTTTTTTTTTTTCCTTTTATCATCGATCAAGTTGATTACTGATTTTTGTCTCCATCGAGATCGAGTAATTGTTTTGTTGCTCAAGCCGGTGACATTTTATTTCTTTTATCGATCTTTTAATCGTAATAAAAGGAAACGATAAATGATATTGCACATTGTAAAATCTATCTTAATTTTTATCAGCTGAAGTTATCAATAATACTGAAATTCTTTTAATATTAAAATCCCTCAGATGTTATGAACAACTAACTTTATCATCGTTTGAAAATGCTTTAGCTGAAATAAATTTTTCTTTTTAGGAATCACAAAATCTCTTTTAGATATCACATTTTGAAAAGTTTTAAGTATCAATTTTTATAAACCACCAATATTGATAATATTATCTCTTTTCAATGTTACATTATATTATAAACGGATTTGTAAATTTGCACCAGTTCGCGAAAACTTATTAACGAGCAGCGGATTCAATTTCGATTTTTCTTACCAGTCATAAAAAAACTGGGTTTTTCAAAGAAAGGAATCAACGTGATATCGAGCGATTTGAACGTATCATTTCCAATTGATCGGAAGAAACCATATCGATCTTTGCACTCTGGACCCGGACGGGTGTGAAACGATGTGAACAAATCCGTATTACTTGAAACGATCAACAAAATATCCGGAGGATCGCGAAGGTCGCGCGGTTATCTGGAGATGCACGGTAAAGTCCTTCATCGCTGCTGACGTAGTCACGAGGATAATCGAGGCGTGCGCGTAGTTCTTCGCGATATCGATATCCCATTTCATTGACCTGTACGCTGAATCGAGCAATGTGACGAGGAGAGAATCGTTACGTTCTCCATGTTCTGGATCAATGACCGAAGAAGTGCAATCTCCGACGCGCGCGAATACGCATTTCGAGTGCATTCACGTGCACACGACATTGCACTGTGGACAGCTCCTCGATAGAAACTTATCGAAGTGCGAAAAATTGAGATAGTCGCGTCGCGATTATTACCACTCGTCGGGACGTGCGTTCATACATATACGTAATTATGCAACTATCGGCAAACGGAAAGTTTTAACGGAGTTACGACGAATCGTCTTTTAATTTTGAATTGCGGACTTTCTCGCGAGATGCGCCTCGAGGCGGGAAAAAGCGATACAAATAGGCAATTTTTAGCCGAAATTCTAGCCGTTGAAGAATAACTTATACGAAAATAAAGTTCGTTGTAAAAGTGGCTGCCGGAATAATTTTATAGACATTAAATGCAAATTAATATGTTGAAAAAAAAGAGATATCTATTTTGACACGCGCATTGAAATGCGAGTTTGTCTCCGTGGTTTTTGTAAGACTTTGCTGACATCGCTTTGGCGCGAATGCTAAATCCGTGAAAATTCCACGTTTGTAGACAACGACTCGAGTTTTGGCGAGCATAAGCGAGTTATCACGCGCTGGAGACGGACAGCCTCGTAAACTGAAGCGAACGCGTTACATTCGTTCAAATGCACGATGAAAACGATTCCGTCTGCTGTGCGCATAAATAAAGTGACTCGAGTGGAAGAAATACCATAAATCGATTTATATTAGACGATCCAATTCCTAAATCTGTTTTCCTGAATCTTACGTTTGTAAATTATGCTGCAGCGTGTGTTCCAATTCACAAATTAATATCTAAACACGCAAAAAGATACATGTATTTTCTTTCTATCTATCGCTAACCTTTTTCTATAACAAATCACTACAAAAAAATTCTATAAAATTATTGTTTCCTTAAAAATTTCTTATTCGTAACACTTAAATATCAATTCGCGTATCTCGCACGATTACAAGTTTGATTGCGTCGCATAGTGAACCATCCCTATGAAAGATACAGGGAGTTACAAAGGAAAAGGACAGCGTCGTGTGTTCGTCATGGCGGACATGCGTGTATACACGGCGGCGACTCAGAGTATGTACTCAAATATCATTTGTCCGAATGTGGTTCCTCTTATTTGGACAAGTCACAGCGTCTCGAGCGAATAAATATGTCCAAATGGGTCAGACGTCGATTTTACGGCCAGCACGAAAATCCACCTCCGACTCGACAATGCAGCGCATATTTTGCAATACGCTAAATCTTTAAAGCAAGTTTTTTTTTTGCAAAAAATTTGCCCACCAAATATCAATCGTATCGCAATGAAATGAATATAATTTTTTATACTTTAAAACGAAGAGACATTTTTTATCTGCTGGTGTTTAGACTTCGCAAGTTTTTTTTATGTGAAAGATAAGTTTAACTCGAGGCAAAATTTGATAAAAGCCATTGATTAATAAAAATCAATATCATTTATGGCGCCTTTTAAATTGCAATTTGTATCGAATTTTGTGGATTATACACATGTTCTTGCAATACGAATACTATATTCGTAATATATCCGCAGCGAAATATAATGATTCCAGCGAGCATATGTGTCTATATCTTACAATATAATACGTTAATCGATTAACTCGCGGTGACTTCGTGACTGATTAATTAGACTTTGAACTTTAAATATCCGTGAGCGCAGAACGAGCACGGTATCAACGGCAGGTTCGAAGCAGGTCAATGACCTGAGAGATGCAGGTGTATCAGAGCGAGTGGCTTGATCCCGAATCGAAGTGCTGCCGCGGAAAATTCATTGTATGAAATATCAGTATGAGAAACGATTTTGTTCATAATCTCGCGTGTTCTATTCGGATGTAAAAGAGAATAGTTGTGTCATTTACGAAAATGCAAATAAATTTTTACATTGAATAAAATATAAACCGCTGGAGGGAAATTAATTGGAGAATTTGCCAAAATGTTTCCACAAGTATTCTGACAAATTTCTTCGTGTCCTTAATCGTTAATTAATAGCAGTGAAATAATTCACTAAATATTAATTATAATAACGACGGGATGACCGCGCGCTGTACATGTCCTTAATAATTTTATAATACTTCGTTAGCAGTGCGAATCATTGATCATTTAAAATCTTACGATCCTTCGCATCAAATCGTTCACGTAATTACGGGCTTCATTAAGTTTACGAATACTGGCGTGTGAGATGAATGCATTCGCGATTGAGATTAATTAGCATTACACGTGACGTTGCAAATTATGACTGTCCGAAATCTCCGGGCAAACGCGCCTGACCAAATGACCCCGAAGACTTGATAAGAGAGGCGACGTCGATGCAAAGTCATCGATCGGCACAATTCGCGAATTATGATGCAAGCGACCGATTATGAGGTAGCCCGTTATTTCTTCGCGCGGCACGTCGGTATTCATTGCGAAGTGTAATCTGCGCAAGCTGGTCCGACAAAATATATTCGCGTCAGCGTATCCGCGTGTGCGAGGTAATAATCTTGATCGCGATAAATATCGCTCGTAACGACATTTGATCTCATCTATTTGCTATCGGAATCAAACATTTTAGTGTCAATCGATTCCGTACTTTCTAACTTGCTTTGAGCAAATTTTAGTCAATATTTATATATTAAATTTATGATGTCTAAATATAACAAATTGATTTAATAATTATTATTTCATAATGTAGTTCATAATATTTGTACTGTAATAGTGAAACTAAACTAGTAAATATTGAGAAATGCATTTATCTCTGTTTTTAAAGCAGTAAATTTCTTTTTATAAATCAAATAACGTACCATGTGATCTAGATCTAGGTATCGATTAATATTGTATAATTTAGAGAAAGAGAGAGAGAGAGAGGAAAGTATTATATATTCATAAGCAAATATAGGTTCTTCGTATCTTAAAATTATACATTGTTATCATAATTTATCATGAGCCAAGTAGAAAATGTGTTGTAACAGATAGAAATATCCGTATCTATTACTACGTGAATAAAACTCAAGTTATCTCTAAATGAAACTCATTTTATCAAATCGGCCGTTCAATATTATCACGATTGCGAAGGCCGTTCGATAATTTTCTATCTAATTCAATATAACAATAAAATATTTGTACAAGTGCATCAAGTGCAATGTCATTGAATACATATACGCGTATAAGCAACTAAACATTTTGTAAAAATATATATTTCTCTCTAGTAATATATAATCTTTGTCTTTTACAGACATTTTTGGCTAAGCGAAGAACTGTTGCAAGCACTGGACAAACTCAACTGGAAATCGTGTAAAATTGAACAAAGGTGAGACGTCTACAATGCAGTCAAGCAACAGCACTCCCATCGAAGAAATAGAAGAAACGAAGATTTCCACAGACTTCTCATACCCGTCCGGCTGTTTCGACATTCCAAACGGAGCGGCGATGCACAATAACGTATTGCAGCGCGGTACATCGCGGTCTCTGCGCGGTCTCGCTTCGCGCGCATTAGCCCACGCGCTCGCACTGTCTCCCACCACGGGGTGACCACGGCAGGACCCCTGCGGGGGGTCTGTGCCCCACCAAGGGCCTTAGGGCGAGAGGCCTCGTGGATTTCAACCAACCGAGTCTCGCGTGTATGAGTCCGCCCTCGCATCTAACCAAACCAAGTTCACCCACTACCCTACGCGGGTTTCAGTTTCTATCCCCACCTGCCCGTTTCTCCGTGATCACCGTGACGTGTCCCCACCCTCCGACGTCCACCGTGTTCCTCTCTGACCATACGGTCTCTCATCCCTCCTCCCACTAGGCCGCGGACAGTCGGGGGACCACACAGCCTCATGAGATACTATATAAGACAGCAAGGACAAGAAAGAGCATGTAGTATTCAATCCTTCCGTGGCTCGCACTGGTCACGACGGCGAGCGACGGCGAATTGGGCTCTGGGGCGGTGACCGACTTTTTTTTTTCTCTTTCTCTCTTTCTTTCTTTTCCTCTTCTCCTATGATTTTCCTTTTTATCCCTCTCTTTGCCTTTTTAGTGTCTTTTGGGACCTCCCACTTCATAGTGCATAGTTCTTAAATCACATCCTCCCTCGTGTCGCGGTATATATATAGCGTAGTGTCGGGGAGACAGTCTCATTCATATTTTCTCTCTGAGAACTGGGAACATTGAGAAATTGAGAGCCTGAGAAAAATATTACGAACTGCACCAGTGCGTCAATAAATAGTTGACTTCGCTTTGACGATCGTTATCGGTTCGATATAAAAAAGAAAAACAATTCAAGATGTCAGTGCTATGTTACGCAGCGCTGGTGATTTGGCAATGGATGAAGAATATTTTAGTATATTCGAAGGAGAATACTAAAGTAACCGAATGCTGTGCGCTGTTCACGGTATTTGTTGCCGCAATCATAGTGGCAAGATATTGGATTAAGAACTATAACTTGCCGCCCGGACCATGGGGCATACCGTACTTTGGCTACTTATTTTTCATGAAGGGCACACCGCCGCATTTGATGTTCGAATCTTTCGCCAAGAAATATGGACGAATTTTTAGTCTTCGACTGGGACCGCAATTGGTCGTTGTGATCAACGACTACAACGTCATAAAGGAGACTTTCCGACGCGAAGAGTTCACCGGCAGGCCGCAGAACGAGTTCATGAAGATCCTCGGCGGTTACGGTAAGCATTGATCGTCGCAGATTCCCTATAATATTTTATCTTTATTAATACTTTTATCTCATACGTTTTCACACGTTTTTATATTGTAAGAGGGAGGGGAAGAGGGCTCGCTCATTCTTCGCTCGTGTCGTTCAAACTGCTTTGAAATTGCTAATGTCACTCGAAAAATGATTTCCCGGTATGTTTATCGAAATCAAATATTAGTGGTAGCGAAAACTTTGGTTTGCGATACTGCGGGAAAATACACGTCAGATCATTTTCTTCCGCGATCGTTTCTGTTTTCCGAACCATCGCGTTTCCGATCGGTCACGGCTACGAGTTTCCACGGTTGCTTCTCGGTCAATGCTAACTTGTGCTTCGAGGTGTTGCAATCAATCGTTCGCGAACAGATCGCGGCAACGCGCCGCGGTGAAACGAGTCCGCATAAGAGAGTTCTCGCGATTCAACGCATTGTCCACATTGTTGTTGTAGGTATCATTAACGCAGAAGGTGCCATGTGGAAGGAACAGAGAAGATTTCTTCATCACAAGCTTAGAAAGTTTGGCATGACATTCTCGTCCGGCTCCAACCAGAAGAGCTTACAATCAAAGATTTCGGTGAGTATTTCGGATTCGAAATTATTAATTACTTTTTAGCACATTTTTTTCATAATTCTCTCTCTCTCTCTCTCTCTCTCTCTCTCTCTCTTTGTTCTTTGTGATTAAATAAAATTAATTTTACGATATCTTTATCAATGATATTTGAAAATATATATTTATGGAACACTGTGTTATACGAAAAATATTTCCAACAAATTCAATAAAATAAATGGGCATAATATTTTGGTTTAGCTCGAAGTTAACATACTTAACAAGAGATTAGTGGAGCGACGCGGAGCGCCCACAAACATTTCGCCGTTTCTCGCTACGTCGATCAGCAACGTGATCTGCTCACTCATGATGAATGTACGCTTCGATCAGGGCGAAACGCGTTTCAAGAGATTTATGGGTCTCATCGAGGAGGGATTCAAACTTTTTGGCAGTGTGGACATCATAAATTATATACCAATAACGCGCTTTTTGCCGTGGATGCAAAAAAATCAAATTAAGATTTCGGAAAATCATGCGGAAATGGCTAAATTCTTCCAAGAGACCGTGAATCAGCATAGAGAAACGTTCGAAGCGGACAGTGTTCGCGATATCGTAGACACTTATCTGCTCGAGATTCAGCAAGCGAAGAACGAAGGTCGGGAGGACGAGCTGTTTCAGGGCAAAAATCACGGTAAGAAAAAATCGATATTTTTCCCCCTCGATATCTCCAATCGCAAACTTTATTTCAATTCTTAACGCAATATAATTTATTAATAATATTAAATTTTATATTATATTATAAAAATATAATATATTATAAGTATTATAAAAATATAATATTACAGATATATATTAATAATATTAATTAATTAAAAAATGTCAATTAATATTCATCAACAATTCCACAATGCAAACTTTTGTTAAACGGCTGTTTCATTTTCTTTTTCACATAGATCGCCACATACGACAAATCCTCGGCGACCTTTTCTCCGCTGGTATGGAGACCGTAAAGACCACCTTGGAGTGGGCGGTGCTTCTAATGTTGCACCACCCAGACAAGGCGAAAGCGGTGCAAGAGGAATTGGATCAGGTTGTGGGAAGATCAAGAATGCCCTCATTTGAGGATCTTCCTTCTCTTCCGATCACCGATGCGACGATCCGTGAGGTGCTTCGCATATGCAGCATTGTGCCGCTTGGAACCCCTCACGCTACTACACGGTAAATTGACTCTCCATCACAAGTCACTCACTTCGCAAATTTCAACGACAAGACTCTTCTATTCTTCGTATTGTTCGGTTTCTGTTACGCGACCGCGTCCAGCCCTTTCCCTTTCTCTCCGCTCCTACGTGAGCTAAGAGCGGGTTTCACAACGAGTCCGCACCTTCCTCCTTAACTGCTTTCCGTGTCTGGCATATCAGAGTCCCGCGATCATTTTGGACGATTATATTCGGCAAGCAAAAGTGAAAGCAAAGGTGCGTGGCCCCTGTCTGCTTTTCGGCCGGACTGTCCCACCTTTGCAAGTAATACCTTCGAGGTCGACGACACCGTTTCCCGTGCGGACAAAGAACCTAACTTACTCAAGAGGCGAACAGGTGTATCGGATCGCAATATATCAAGAATCGCTCATTAGGAATGATAGAAACGGCGCGGGTGGCACAGTTTCACTTCTCCGCGGAGAACGCGGCCAGAAAGAGCGTGACGAGCGCGCGTGCGTGCGTATAAAAAGTCGAGTCGCTACTTGACTTCACCGGTGGATTGATATCTCGTATAGCTAGACGATCGTTGACATGTGCGAAAACCGTAACATTGATCCAAATTATCTACAGCTCTAATGAATTCCGGAAGATACATATTGCGCTTTTAACAAAGCTATTAACTTATCAATGTCTATCTTTTCCATAATATATTACTCTTACAATGTTTCCCATTAACTAATCTTTCAAAGGACGTTCGTAGATATGTTATCTAAACTAGCATTTTGTCTCTTCGTGTTACAGAGACGTGACGCTGAAAGGTTACAAGATACCAGCCGGTACTACTATAGTGCCACTGTTGTACGCAGTGCATATGGATCCGAAACTTTGGAACGACCCAGAAGCCTTCCGGCCGTCCCGTTTTCTCACCAGCGAAGGCAAGATCCACACTCCAGAGTATTTCATGCCGTTTGGAGTCGGTAGACGGATGTGTCTGGGCGATGTGCTGGCGCGCATGGAACTCTTTACCTTCTTCAGTTCGTTAATGCATACCTTTGACCTGAAATTGTCGGAGAACAGCTCGTTACCCAGCTTAAAGGGCAACGCCGGTGTCACGTTGTCGCCGGATCCCTTCGAGATCTGCCTGCTGCAGAGGAACCTCGAATGCAGCGAGGTCCCGAGCAACCCTCTGCGCAACATCGGCAGTCATTGATGAGCGTCCTCAGCGAACTCAGCACGAGCACGGTACTTGTTTCCTACATTCGCAGGAAAAAAGGTCAGTTAGAATAGAAATAATGTCGCGAGTTTGCGCGCCATATTGTACGAATATTATAGAAACGCGTCGGCCGAGGATAACGCGTTATCCAAAGCTAAGAATATTTTACGTAACATCAGTCCACATCCAAAGTTTTATATTACATTTTAAATTAAATTTTATATTCGTAATAAGATATTTATAATTTTATATTATTAATTAAGCGAAACACCACTCTAATTCTTCGGGAAGTAAAAATTTTATTCAGAAAATATGATATGTAATCAATCAGCTTTCGATATCTAAAGTAGTTTTCTAATTTAACGATTGGATTCTGGGAACAATTGATAGATTGGTACATTGCAAAAAGCTATCCGATCGATTTTCCGATTGATTTTCCGATACTAAAGTAATTTTATAGTAGAATAAAATCATATATAGGCTAGATGTAAGCTAAATTCTCGAGCGCATCCGATGCTCGATGTAACTACGTCATTAATTCGCTAGATTTTGGTATAACGAGATCTTAAATTCATAATTATAAAATGTCCAATTTTTTTTTTCACTATCTTAATTCTAATGATCTTGTTATACCAGAAGCATGGCTTCTCTCCTGTTCACCATATGAGATTCAATAATTTTAGTCTTTTTAAAAATTTTTTAAAAATAAAAAAAAATTAGTCTAATATCGCGTACATTATGTTTTAATATATTATATATTAATTATTGTAGAATATTACAAATCCGGTGAAAATTTTGAGTCGCGGGACCGTAACTTTTTTGACTTATAAAGCAGCAGAAAGGAAAATCGATCGGATAATCGAAAAGTCGGAAAATAGCGGAAGTCCTCGGCTATAGCTTAGAGTACAAAAAGAGCCTAATGGCTCGAATTATATTTCCCTACCTCCTCTGTTTAACTTAACTGCACATCACCTTTCACCATATCAATCCCCCGATCGAGTATTTATTATTTTGCGAACGTTTCTTTCCTCTGTGTCCCATTGCTCTTCTCGCCTCGTATTTATTCGCGCTCAGCCGGCGAGATCGACGCGATTTCGACGCGATCGAACGGTTTCGACAGCGATTAACGAGTAACATCAATCCCGCCACTTCAAATCACGACTGTTAAAAAGTATCTCGTCAGGAGCTATCAGTTTGTCACGTTTAAATATTACTCCGACGCGACCTGACGACACCGTCACGATCCCGAACGCCGTCGACTCGCCGTAGATCTCCGCGGACGAACGAGGATGTCGACTCATTACCGATCGCTCCTCTTTCGTCCGCGACAACATAGTAATCCGTTATTATAAGATAAAGAATATGTGGAGAGAGAAAGACAAAACGAGCGAGAGAGACACTATTTTGATTGTGCGCGAAGCTCAATTAGTATGCTAGTTTGCGTATTTAGTTCGTAAATATGTGTGTATTTAATAATATATGAACATATATATTTTATATATATTATACGTATATAGCTGGTCGACAAATCACGTGCCGTTTGACAAGAATGTAGGACTGCCCTTGCACCCGAGACGACCGTTCGCGTTAATATCGCGACACCGCGATGAGCGGTGTCGTTGACTTTTCTAGCGGCGACACGAGTGGAGCGCGTCGGCGGCGCCGGCCGATTGCACGAATCGGCCGGTCCGGAGCCCGAGAGCGATTTTCGTGAAAGTCGCTGCGAGATTTCGTTGCGACATCTCGCCGTTCGGCGCGACGTGGCGACTGTTCGGAATGAATAGAATGAATATGTCGATCGTTACATCCGGGCGATGATCGGCTTTCGGGTGCAGGCGCGGACTGAGGCTGTGAATCCAAGAGATTCGGGATGTATGGTCGACGATTACATTGTGACGTCGTGTAATCCGATTTCCCAAAGGTATCCCGGGCTGTGCATCCTAGAAGCGGCAAAGACAGCGCGCGGCAGTGCGCCGATCTTGTGCCGAAGAGCTCCGCGAGTCCAAGATTCATGTATATGTTTGTAGTTTAAACTCGATGACTGACGGACTCGCCATCGATACAGGATCTGCGCCGCGCGCGCGCGGCGTCTCTTTGCTCGAGTATCCGATAGAATGTTAATTAATTTTACCATAGCACGCACGAACTACAGAATGCCGCATTGTGTTCATCTGTCGACCGCAAATCTGTGTTATTTAATGTGTTTTATTTTCTATAAAATAAGGATATTTTGCAGTTAAGACAATTGTCTGATCTCTGTAACGACTGATTTATTCTTCCTATCCCAATCACGCCACTTATGTAAAGAGATTAATTTTACGTTCTAAAAAAATATTTCAAAGCAAATGACTTTTTTTTATTTTTTACTCTTATAAATCACTATTTTTTAGATATAAGTCTCTTTGTGTCGAGTGACATTACTGTCTAGAAACGCGATTACGCCTCTCAAGTGCATCTCAAATGAACGTACATTCGTAATGGTGACGAGCGTTTGTCAGCCGAATATTCCGGGGAATTGGATTTTTTATTCGATCGTTCCCGCGAAAAATTTCGTCTGGAAACTGCAATCTCGCGGAGAACCGGATTCTTAAGGATGAGTAAAAAAAATTTCTGGTTCTTTGGCGCTGCACCATCGGCCTTCGAGTCTGATCTCTGAATGCGCGCTCGTCCCTTCCTGCCGCCGTTCAATATGTTGAGGACTCTTGCTCGGGGCCTACGAAAGAGGACTGAAGCTGGACCTAGCTTTCTCTTCCACTGGTCCGCTCGGTCCCGCATCAGCAGAATGCTTTTTTTCCAATTCGCACAGCCGGGCGTTTCGTGAGATTATGGGCTAAAAATAGTCACGATTCCACTAATTGGCGAATCCAACTAGGTATAGTAAAAAAAAAGCCATAATTATATTAAAAAATTCTACAGAAAAAAAATTATCATATTTTTCAGAATGTTTTTATGAAATTTGAAAGTATGTATTCCTGTAAATCCTATTTAAATATTAAGTAATAAATTCATATGAGCAATTTATAATCTTTATTGAATTTTATTAATTATAAGAGTTACAAAAACTTTTTATTCTCTTAAAATGTATGGCTGTCAATCCTATTTAATAATTAATTTTAAATCTGATAATCGCTGAAGTGCATATTATCAGAATTATCAGCTCGTTTTATGCATCAATCTAATATTCTTGTTTATGAAATTTCAACCACCCCTAGAGAATTCCCGCTGGGGTGATTAGTTTTGTAGTTTCTCTCAGCAGTGCAATTCCGTGGGCACCTCCTCGCGGGCGTACGAGCGGTAGTAAAATTCGCGGAGCATCGCGCAAACTCGCAGAGCGAAAGAGCGTTTCGCGCGCTTACATAAGAGAAACTCGCACGTTTCTAGGTTTCTAACGAAATATCGTCGCTGGGTACATTACGTCTGGATAAGGTTAATGACACGAAAGTCAAGTGGCCCCAAACCGCACACAACGTTACGTAAGGTCAGCTTAGCCGGCCGTCAGTGCGGACGTACACTGATAATGGCGCACTTCCTGCAATACATCGTGCATGTGAAAACGCGAGATATCCCAGATGCGCGTAGCGCCATGTGTAACCGCAACACGTGGCCAACTCCCGCTGGCCCAGTAAGGACCCCTTTTTACCTTGCGCTTCGATATACGAATTTGTGGCCTCACCTCGCCAAAGAATCGGTCGGGCGCCAACTGGCCGCTATACACAGTAGAGACAGAAAGTTTGAAGAACCGTTGCTTCAAGGCTTGGCTCAGTGAAGCAGGAAGAGGCGTTTTGTGGCTTATTTTTTTTTTTTTTCATTGCCTAACGCAAAGTTGAAAGTGTGTTGATAGAGCAGTATTTTTATAGCTTGGATCGCTTCGATTCTACTTGAATTCCTTTATCTTTCTTTTGATTCAAGTTTCGTGTGGCTGTCGCGGTGTAATCTATTAAAATTAATCGGTGCAAGTTTCGTTCATGCATTTACATTTTCTCGAACTTCAAAATGAACTTTTCTTCCATTACATCGTTAATTCACTCAATTTTTCAATATATGTACATATATGCGTCACTGCAAGTGTAAAGCATTTATTTATCGTAGTTTTTACTGTAGCGCTTGTTTTTTTTAATAAATATTTCCATTAACACAAACAGTAAATAAATTCGTAAATTTAAATTCAAGATGTTAGATTAACTGATTTTTTCCAGCAAGATTTTGCGTTGCTTATATAATTTTGCACCTCGCTTATAATACTGTCGAATATCTTAATAACACGTAACATAACTGAATATACTTCATTAATATACATAAAACTCCAGGAAGAGATCTTCGATCATTAATCATTTGTCCCTACTCGCAACCTTTTCTTCTCTTTCGAGGATAGAACCCAAGGATAGAATTTCTTTTAGATTTTATTGCATCGATATATATATATCCCAAAATTTTTGAAGTGTCCAAGGTTTTTGTGTTGTGGGGTTTGCAATTCATCACTTAGTAGAAGAAAATACGAATTCGGAAGGCCTCCAGTTTCGGCGGTGGGTGAACGGTGCGCTTGTAGTTCATCCAAGGCCGCTACATTGTGAGAGAAAAACGCGCGTTGCATAACGTTGATGGAATTCACGAATCCAATGCGAGACGTGTGAGAAAAAGAGAAGAGAGAAACGGAAGAGAGAGAGAGAGGGGGGAAGAAACGAAGCGAAGGGGCAGCGCGTTTTATGTAAAATCATCTCCCAACATGTGATCGTGGTTGACATTTTAACGGCTCGTGTCTCCATATCGGGAGCGCATGGTGGCAAAAATGCGTCGGTACTCTTCGCAAATATAAAATATGAGCGAGGTGTGCGCACAAATAAATCCACAGGGTGGATATTTTCACGCGGCTCGCCTTACGTGGCGCGTGCTTTAATAAGAATGTTCCTTTTTCTTTTTCTTTTAATATCGGCGCTCTGAAATATTTGGCGATGGCGAAATTCGACTGCCGAGGTTCGCAATCGCGCGATAAACCGACACGCGGACGTCTGACATCTTGCAGCGTTCGCTACCGATCTCATTAATATCTGCCTGGTGGGAAATGTATGCGCGTAAAATCGAGACGCCACTCATTCGGCGTGCAACTTGATGCAGGCAAGCAGACGAGAATAGCGTGGAGTCGTAAACAGTTCGTGACAGATTCCATTAACTAAAATCGTGTATTTCAGCAATCTTTGCGATGCGCGTGCAGTTCATTATAATATGATCCAAGTCATTAGTTCTCGAAAAGGAAAGATAAATCGGTAGGATCACTTTGCTTTTCAATAAACTTTGCTGACACAATGTACGAAGCAATCGTTTATATTAAATGTCGCTGCTGTCAAATAAAATAAAATCTTCGCAAAATCGTAAATTTAAATAAATTTATAAAAAATATTACAACTCAATATGAAATACAATTGATTATGAATGTTATATTTAATGTCAGATCGTATAAAGATTATATTACGTAAAAAGATAAAGTAAAGCATATATCTACACATAGATATTTCTGAAGTGCGCACTCTTAGTTTTAACATAATAATGTTAATGAAAAAAAATGTCGTTGATGCAGATGCATGTAAATTTATTCTCGTGGTGTAAAAACCAACCGATGCGGTTTCGGAACCAGAGTAATTCCGCATTCGCCCTCCAGATCGATGTGCGCGCCGGATGGCGTAGAGATGGCAAATGAATGAAGAATTCTCGCAGCGAACAAAAATAACATCATTCTGGCCAGTTCATCGCCGACGCACATTCGTTTGCCTTCGTATTGCACAAAACAATATATTCAATGTCATATAGAGTTGTTTCTTTTGTATTTTCTATAAACATACCTGTTTGAAAAGGTAAAAAAGCCTTGGGCTTAGCAAGAGCCCCTTCATCAGTGATGAATCTTTCGGGCCTAAAAGAAAGAGGATCTTGCCAGTAAGATGAGTCTGTATGAATAGCATACTGTAGCGGGATGACCATGGTCCCTTTTGGAACATCATAACCTCCGACTTGTGTGTTCTGCAAATAATTTTCATTTCACACCAATTTTCTTTTTGCGAACATAAAAACAGTAAGATCTCAACTGCGATTGCTTATCGTAGAATCACTTCTAAATAGTTTACAGATTTCTATTTCGCATAAGAACCGTAAGATTAATCGTGATTATTCGTTGTCAAATGAAAAATATTCTCGGTCTGTAAACAATTACAAGTTTATAATCAGGCACATCTGTTTTCGCGGAATGAAATATGCAACCGTGTGTCTCGTTGATCCTTTTGTTCCGTTTAACGCGCACATGTGCACTATAATTACCTCTATTGTACCGTGTGGAATACCGATCGGCACAACGCTTCGCAACCTTTGTGTCTCCATGATAGCTGCTTCCAGTCGAATTAAAATCAGCCTGTCCTCCAAACTGGGTAACTTTTGTCCCAAGAGTTCGTTCATCTCATCCTGAACTTTTTTCTGCACAGACAAAGATATACAGGATTCCAGGCCTCGTGAAAACAGGCCCAATAATCTCTTCATCGAATAGGATATTCTTCTAAAAAATATCTTGCAAAAAGGTACAGTATAATTTCAAAAACACAAGCATACCTGTTCGTCCGGATATACCGCCATGAAGAGTAGGAACCAGCGGAAACTTGTAAGAGTGGTATCGACACCTGCTCCGAAAAGATCGGCTAACATATGATAAAATTGCGGCTGTGTGAAATGTCCAGGATTGTCCGTATTGGCCGTCATTACGTCGTCGAAAACCGCAAGAAAGTTATCCGTCTTTTCACGACGAACACGATATTCATCGATAATCGTCTGATATATCTGATGCGTTTTCTGCTTGCCGTCGATAAGTGATTCTATTAACTTGCCAAATCGTGGTAAAAATCTGAATAATCGAGAGAAAATTTAACGCTCGTTATGTGCTTGAATTTCTTACAGTCCTAAAAGTACGTATAATTTTTACGTTATTAACTTTAATATTCAACTAAATATTTTTAAATACGATATTTCATAAATATAAGAAGTAAAATGTGAGTATAGTAAAAAGAAAATGTAAGAAGATATATTATTATTAAGATATATAAAATAAACATTTTTATTAAAACTTGAAATATTAATAACAATCTTATGATTGCAACCTTTCGTTAAGAACACTTTATCAATAATCTGTCCACAATCTAGCTTATGTAAATTAAGTAAAATCGTCCTTCGTACTACTTTTTTTGTACAAAGATTTGTATTCACTCATGCAGATACTATTCAATTCAATTTATCATGTCACTTGCGCGTATATATAAAAAATAGTTGCGTATCTTTTTATATTTATCGTTCGAAAGTCACCGCCTTCGATGAAAAACATAGCATTTGCATGCTAGACGTTGAATCATTGAATCATTGTCACATTATCGGCGTGTTAATTGGTCGTGTGGATCAATTCACTCGACTCTTTTTTTTTTTTACCCCACGCGCCATAATGCGGTTTACCTTTCGATAAGTGGAAAACACGCTATGCGCGCTACGCGACATGGCCGTATCGTGCTGAGAATCCCTCGAAGGATCTTTTGTCAACTATAACGTCATACCTGAGAAATGGCAAAAAGTTGAGTGGCCCTGCAACTCCAATGTGCTTGACTCCTTCCTCTTGTAAATGTCTCAACCATTTCCACACCTTGTCATCCTCCTCGTAAACTTTACCAAACACGAGGTCGTTGATTACATTACCGAAGCAGTGATGAAGCGTCTCCAATGGATCAATACCGTTCTCCGTAGAGCGATTTCTTAATTTCTAAGGACACAGACAAGGAAATTCCTGCCATTTTCTTGCTTGCTCTTCATCTTTCGTATACTAGAAACTTAGCTAATGCGAAATGCCTATACGAAACTCATTAATATACTTCAAAGCCAATATTTATGCACAATGCAGAGAACTATCCCGAACGAAATTTTGTAATTAATAATATCATAGTATATATATATATATATATATAACTGTTCTTTCATATAAATTATTAAAAATGATGACATCGAAATGTCACGAATGTTAATAGCTTCATTAAATGCAATGACATTTCCAAAAATTAAATAAATGTTAACTTGAATTTTGTGATTCAACATGGATATTCTTTTTGGTATAATTAAATATATTTGGTATATCAATATATTCGTTTAGGGACAGATTTAGTGACACGATGGCCTCGCGTAAATCCTAGGTGTTAATTTACCAATATGCACTCGTTCACCGCCACGAGAATTCGCTCCTCCAATTTATCTCTCATAAAGCCAGATGACTTCATACCAAGATGCTTCAAGAATTCGGCTACGAATCTTCTTTGAGTCTTCCAACGGTCACCCTCGGCGCAAATTAAACCTGCGTAAAAGAGATGCGGTGGAAACAAATTTTTTCTCTCTCTTTTTTTGTTTTCGTGCAAAGGCGATCCTCGTCGCACCTTAATCGCGCGATCATAAATAAGCCGCCACCCGAACGGTGCCTCCGTCGCGTTCCCTCTTTCTGCGCGCGCCGCGCTTGGTGGGAGGGTGTAAAAAATAGCGAGAGGATTACCGTCATTCCGTAAGTAGGCGCAGCCACTGAACTCGTTGAAGGATAATCCTCGAATGAATAAACAATAATCTCTTACCGCATCCGCTCACCGTTCCTTCCTTCGGCGCGTGTGCTCGCGGGATAAACCAGGCACGATCGTCGATTAATAGCGATCGCGATCGCTGATTAAACGCGACAGTGATAAAGCGTTCATCTCCGCCCTGACACTATCTCTCCTCAATTCTTAAATTTTTTAAATACTAATCTATACTTTTTAGCATTCTCTACGTTTATTTTCTCTCTCTCTCTC